GTAAGGCGCGGCTCCGGGTCCCGCTGCTGCCGCGCCGCCGGTATGGCGGGGGCGTACCCGGGTCCCCCACCCGCTGCCCGGTCACGGTACGGCAGCGTCGCCCGGGCGGCCCCTCCTTGGCACCCACCACTTCCCGCCCCGACAGCCTGTCGCGGGGAGCTCTGCAGCTGGGTGCCGGCGTGGAACCCCAGCCCTTCCCGGGGTGGTACAGACCCCCCACCCCAACCCGCCCGGGAGCTGCTGCGGTGCAGCCAGTGCCTCTGGTTTGGGGTACCCATCCCATGGCAGCAGGGAGCCGGGCTGTGCCCCTCCTGCTGCCAGGCCCTGGCTGGGCACGGCTGGCACAGGCGGTTGGCCCCCCTTTTGCGCTGCCCGCCATCCCAGCTCGGCTCGGTACCTGGGCCATGCTCAGCCCTCCCCAGGCAGCGCCGGGTTGCCAGTGCCGGCCAGGGAAGCGTGCACCCTGAGTGTGAAACGCCGGGCCCCGCTTCTGCCACCCCGCTTCCGCAGGCAAAGAGGAAGCGCTGGGGCCCTGCGGGATGGTGCTGAGCTCTGTCACCCTGCCTGCAAGCTGCGGAGCTCAGCAGCACCGAGGTCAGGCAGGTCTGGTGGGTCTCGCTGGGCTGCACAGAGCCATGTTGTGCCCAGCTCTGGTCTCTGCCCCATGAATAACCAGCCCCAACCATGCTGAGCATCATGATCCATCTTGCCTCATGAAGAGATACTGGGTCAGGGATGGGTTGTGCTGGATGAGCCACATCGGGGAGCATTATCAGGACACGTAGCCCTTCCAGGGGCTCCCTGAGCCGGACACCCTTTGCCCGGCATCTCTGCAGTACCATGGCCGTGAGCGAGGCTGCCGTTGCTCTGCCATGGTGGAGGTGGGTGGTGGGATCCTGCCCGGGTGGCTCCCAGCCCATGGGGCCGACAGGAGCTGGCACCGCTGGAGCAGAGACCCTGCCAGGGATGGTCCCATGTGGGAAAGGGATAATGCGGGCCAGTTGCATGGTAACCAGTTGTGCTGGGGTGGCATGCAGGTGTGGGAAGCTGGTACCCTTCAGCATAGGCCATGTGGCCAGAAGCAGAGGGGTCAGGCTGGACGGGTGATGCTGCTAAAAATCATTATGTCTTGTTGCCTTTGAAAAGAATTTGGGGGTCCCCAGGGCCACCAAAATGTTCATCTCCCAGCTCTTGGACATCAGCGCTCTCCTTCCCCATAGCTTCCCACCCAAGCCGTCCTTGTGCCAGGCTGGCCTGTCCTGCGTTTGTACGCCTCTGCAGACCCGACGAGTGCCCAAAACATCCTCCTGACCTTCAGCTGTAGGAGGGGATGTGGTGGCTGCTGCCATTGCACCTGGCCTCAAGTATCCCACCATCCCCACGGCGTGCCAGCCTCAGTGTGTCCGCAGAGCAGATGGCAGGTCGCCGAAATCTCAGCCGGCTAACTGTTCAGCTGTGAACCTCAGGGTGCAGATTAGCTGCTGCTAATGGCCGGCCCAGAGAGCGTGCATGTCTGTGCAGTGTGGGTGCTGGGACGCCTGGCCATGGCGGGGTTATGGCATTCTCTAGGCAGGGACATCCCTGCCAGGGACATTGACTGCCCTGGTGTCGGTTCCCGTGGTGGGCGAGCTCTGCAGGATGCTAAGGGATGTTTTGCTCTTGCCCTGGTGTGCAGGAGGTGTCTGCTCTGCCTCCGGCAGCCTGCACTGGGCTCGGCACATGGGAAGTGGCCTTTCCGAAAGACATTTCCCATCCAGGAGTGAAACGTGTCCCTGGGAAGCGAGGCCACGTCACCCAGCTCTGCGGGGCAGTGGGTGGGAGGTGGACATCTCATCTCCAAACCCATCTCGGGTGTCACAGCGGGAAACACTGTTCGTGTCCCCAGCCGAGCAGAGCAGCTTGTTTACGGAGGCGAAGGCAGACACTTGACCTGGCCGGATCAGGAAGCGCAGTGTAAACATGAAGGATCACATCTGAGTCGCTTCTTCCCGTCAGGCAGCGTCTGCAGGGCTCTGCTGGCAGAGGCACCCTGAAAGCTTGCGGTTTGTTTTAGGGACATAGCCAGGATGGTACCATATGCTTTACCAGCTGCCCTGGTGCGCTGTGGGAAGGATCATTTCCCCAAGGGCTCCTGCCTGTGTGCAGGGACGTTGCGGGGCCAGGATGGACCAGCTCGGCGGTCCCTCTGTGAAAAATTGTGGTACTCCCGGACGCTGGGAGCCAGATGTAGCTGGTATCCTCCATCACTGCAGGATCAGTGCAAGGTGATGGGACACAGATTGTGGAACCCTTCCTCCTGGGACTTGCTCATGCTTTGGACCCGTTCCCCATCCCCACTGCAGCCCCCTGCCCACCCACTGGGTGCAGGGAGAGGAACCTCCCTTTGGCAGGAGAAGGGTTAACAGGTCTGCCACCGAGCAGGCTGCTGTGACAAGGATGAGAGGAAGTGCTGCAGGCACCACTGCTCTCTGTCAGGCCTCAAAAGGAAGCTGTGCAAAGAGAGGAAACCCAGGGCTCAGTCCTTTTGGGGCCACATATGCAGCTCCCTTCCCTGCAAAGGGCTTTGCCCTGCTTGTGGGGTATCCACCACTCCGGACACCTGCTGCAGCTCTCTGTGATGCTGGTGGCTGCCAGTGGACGTACAGGCATGGTGGCAGCCATAAAACACTAGCTGTTGCCTTTGCTCGAGGGTTGGACTTGGCCCTGGGTGTGCCGGAGAGCTCCTGGTCCTTATGGCCACTTGAGGTCGAGTGTCTGTGTCACCCGGAGCAGGTCAGGCTCATGTCTGGGCATCCCAGTGTCCCACAGGTGCAGTGCTCGGCCATGGAGTAGTAGTGGGAAACACTGCAAAGCAGGATTTTGGTTTTGGAGCTGTAATGAAGTTCCTTGGCTGCGTGTCCATACAGGAAGTGTGCTGCTGGAAGTGTTTATCTGCCTTGGTCAGCCACAGTCTGACCTCATGGTTCTTCACAGCCCGAGACCCTTTGTCCCATCCCAAATTCCCTGACATCAGTTTATCGCAAAGTCCTCTGAGCCCTTCCCACCGCAGGAGAGCCCAGGGCTGGGACAGTTTTGGGGAGAGACAGCGCTGGGAGCTGGGATGCTCCTGACTCCTGTCCCTGGCAAAGCTGGCCCCAAAGCCTCCAGCCCCGGTGACGGGCTGCGCTTTTAAGCAGGGAGCGTGAGCAGCCACGTTACCCTGGCCCTCCCAGAGGACAGGGCCATGCAAATGTGCCTCTGGCATGATCCCGTTGGTATCAGCAGCCTCCAGGTAGTGCCAGGCCCATCGTCATGGGAGCTCTGTTGGGCCTGAGGGTCTCTAGCGATGCTGTGTCGATGCTTCACTGTCTCCCCTCCAGCCGTGCTCCGGCCACGGCGTTGGGCCCCTCCAAAACAGAGTTGTCTCCTGACGTGGGTTTTCCCTCTCCATCCCAGGCCTGGATCGGGGGTATCCGAGCAGGCTCCATCACATCCTGTGGGAACCACGTGAAGGCCAGCTGCCGCTGGATAGCGTTCAATGCCGAGGCAGCAGGTGAGACACAAGGGAAGGGGTGCTGAGCGTGACTGAGGGGGTGGGATGGATTTACCCCTGTGGGCCCTGCTGGGCTGGGTGGTCGGTCAGCCCCACGGACCCCAGGAGGCATGAAGGCAAGTGGAGGAGGCTTTCCCCAAGTTCTCCCAAAGGTGCTGACAGTCCCACACCTCTTGGCTTGCATTGCAAAGCTGGGTGTCCCCCCGCTGTATCCCAGGCTGTGGGGGTTCCTGGGAGTGTCTTGTGGGTGATGGGTAGGCTGGCAGGCAGCTGGTGACCTGCTGCTGTGTCCTCTCTTGCAGGTGTGCTGGGCATCGTGCCGCTGGAGTGCAAGGATGGAGGCAAGAGGACCGTGTCTCAGCTCTGCTGCCACTCAGGTGAGCTGGGTGTCTACTGGCCCCAGTCTGGTTTGTCCCATGCCTCCGCCACGCTCTGCACCAGGGCACCAAGGAGTCGGGTACCACCTCCCACCTCTGCAGGAGGTGTTTGGCCCTGCGTGGGCTGTGCAGAGGGGCTCAGGTGCTGAGTCCTGGCCCAGGATGCTGTGTTGGGCTGTCTCCCAGGGGAGGGGCTAGGGGAGACACTGGAGTCCCCAGGGACCATCACCCATGGGCAGGGTGACCCTGACAAGTCTCATTTGTGTGCGAGGCACAAGCCGACTGCAGCCACCCTGACCATGTGGGGCTCTGCCAGGCTGGGCTTTTGATAAGGAGCTGAATTGATCCACTCCATCTCTCCAGCTGCAGCGAGGTCTGGACATGTAGCTCTTGCTCACGCTCTTCCTCTAGCACACCCTTCCCAAGTTACTCATTGCACGCCCTGAAGTTCCCAGTACACCCAGCGCCGGAGTGGCACTGGAGCTGGGGACAGCATCACTGCGGGTGTACCCGGCTCCAGCAACGGGAGGAACAGGCCGGACCGGTGGCCACGTGGCCCTGAGCAGCTCTGATGTGGGCAGAGCGAGTGCTGCCGGGGAAGAGGCGGCTGGCAGCATTGCTGCTGGCAGCATTGCTGCTGGCAGAGGACCGTGCGCTGTGGAGGCGGAGGGCTCTGCCTCCTGCCCGGGCATGGGGAAAGAGTGGTGGGGACCTCAGGGTACCTGTCCCCTGGTGTGGGAGCAGCAGTGCCAGCCCAGGGGGCACTGAC